TGCTACCATTTCAGTAACTGCTAACATCGTTCCCTTTTCTAACCAACCCCTAGAGAATGTTGGGGCCTAAGGACAGAAAATGGGAGGTGAAGGAAAAAGATAATTACCATTACTGCTTAAGAAGAACAAGTAAATAGACCAGTGTAGATGAAGGGGTTATTGGGAGGGCTTCCTATACAAAGCAAAAAGCAGGTTTTGATCTTAACTCTGCCACAGCCAGCGGCCTGACCTCAGTCACTTTATCTGTCAGAAGAAGTTCCTTTACTTAACTGTAAAATGAGAGGATTTGACAGGATTGTCAAACTGGATAAATCCCTCCCGAGACTGACTTTCTGGGGCTCTACAAAGCCATCATATTCAGTAATTACATCCAATACCTTATCTCCCTTTTGCTTTCTTGTTCAGTTACAGAATAGGCTTATATAACTAACATAATACTCTGTGGATTTGACTGACACCCAAGAACTAAAAGCTGTTTAGGAAAAGTGATTATAAATAACAAAGGGTATCTGAAAAAAGAAGGAATTCCTCTTAGTCATTCAAATGATCATTGTACCTTCACTCTACCCAGTGGTGGGTAATACTGTGGGGATAAAACGTAAGTGCTGCCCTAAACTGGCTGGAGTGACAGGCTTCTGAAATTCAAGGGTGCGCCTTGGTGACATAAGAGGAGCACCAGAAGTGATGTCTAAGCTGAGACCTGGAGTGTGCGTGCATGGGTGTGTGTGCATGTGACAGCACATTCTAGACAGAGGCAACAGCTCACACAAAGAAGCAGGAGCAGTTATGTTGGGCAGCTCACTCAGCTCACATCGGCAGAGTATAGAGTAGGAGGCCTTGGCATCTCCATTTCCTCCATGTGGCCGGAGAAAATATGCCCATGAATGCTCAGCAGAGATCTCCAGGACACGGTCCTGTCTTCAGAGATGATCCTTTGGACTCAAAAGGCTATAGCATCCTGTCCTGAGTCATAACGACGTCCCTTTGTTACATACACTCCTTTTGATCTTAATATTGTGTCTCCAAAAAACTATGGGACTTTACTGACTGGCCCCATTAGAAGTTGCTGTTTGGAAGAAGGAACTCGGAAATGCCTCCAGAAGTTCAAGGGTTAAGCAGGTGAGAATTCAGGATGGAAAATCATCATCAAGAGGTTTTAATTACATCGGTCATACTAAACATAGTTATTTTCTATTCCACTGCCCAACTATTCAGTTCCAGGAAGTGTCTGGCCAGATCCTAGGTTGCGGGACCATGTGGGTTAGCCCAGGTCTGCCCTAGTTTGGGCACTGCAAGTCCTGCGTCTCAGGAAGGCGGCAGTCCCAGGGAACCCCCCAACCGTTGTTCACACTCCCCAACACTCTCTGTGTGTTTATATCCCACTCCCTCCAGACCCAGGCACAGCAGGGATGGAGAAAGTTAATGCCCTTCCAGCTGGTCCTTTTCTAGACATTGGACGTAGTAGCTTCCTTCAGTTTTTTTCTGGTCTTCCAGGCAAATCAGCAAAGGTCTGGTAAGGTACTGACTCCACCTTCTCTCTCTTTGTAATTATAGTGCGAATTCCAAAGGTTTCTCTGTGTCCTTACAATGATCTTTCAATAAACTCCTCACTCTTGATTTCTTGGACTCTTGCATAATCCCAGATCACCATTTCCTCTTTGATCTTATCCTGTGCATCTTGAAAATCTATTGGAGTCACATATGCAGATTGACTTTTGGTCACCCCAGGTTCCTTTAATATGAGCAGTTCTTCTGGGTATTTCTCGGGGGGGGGGGGGGTGGGGGGGGTACCTGGCAGTGTTTTCACAGATGATGCAGCATCATAATGACGCCTGCTTCCTGGGGTGATCTCACCATAAAAAACAGGCACTGCTCCATTTTGTGGCTCAGACTCTCCTCAGTCAAACCCAAACTGCATGTTACTGTAATGCAGTCTCATGGATTTGAATGCCACATGTAAGCTGATGACTTTTACAGTTTGTATCTCCAGTTTGTACCTCTTTGGTCTCCAAACTCATATCCATCTGTCAATTAAGAGCCCCGTGTGAATGGCCAATAAGGACATTTAAAATAACCCAAATCAAATTTAACATGCCCCCAAACAAATCCCTAATTTCCCCAAACTCCTTCTCTCCCTAGGCTATTCCACCTCAGGAAATGGCAAAGACATTACTCCACGTTGCTCAGATAAAAAAATCTCAGGCGAGTCTGTGGATTCTACTTTCCAAATTCACCCAGTCCTACCCCTTTTCCTCACATTACTGTAACTACCTTTGTCTAAGCCTGCCATTTCTCTCCTGGATTACTGCAGTAGCCTCCTAGCTGATCCTCCTGTCTCCGCATTCACTCACCACAAAGCAGCTAGACCAGCAAACCCTCTGAAAATGTGACATCAGAGCATGCCACTGGATCCTTCAGATGAGTCATCTCAGAGTGAAGGCCAGCACCCTTCCTAATGGGCCAGGAAGACTTATAGCATCTGTCCCTTCCCTTACCCATCTCTCTGGCCTCTTCTCCAGCTCCTGTCCACCTTACACTTTCCACTCCAGCCACACCGACCTCCTTGCCAGTTGTCTGGCACTCTAGGCGGGCTTCCATCTGGGCTCTGGTTCCTCTGTCTGCTGCACCTTTCCACAGGTAACACCGTGATTCTCACCCTCACCCCCATGGATCTTTCTTCAACAGTCATCTTCTCAGGAAGGCCTTCCCTACCCAGTGTTCCCTTCCTTTCCTTGCTTTGTCTCTCTGCCACGTATTACCACATGACATTATTATGTACTTATGAATTAACTGTTGCCTTCCATAGAATGTATGTGCCACGAAGGAAGGGATCTTGGTCTACTTTGTTCCTTGCTGTATCCTCAGTGACTATTTTAATACTGCCCGACACATAATAGGTATTCAATAAATATTTGTTGAATGAATGAATGTACTTAGTCTCAGACTGGCACAGTGGTTATATGCTGTGATTGTTGGAAAGTGGGTTTGGAATCGGACAAATTTTGGTTCAAGCACTGTGAACCCACTTACTAGTTGTGTGGGCCTGGGCAAGTCATACGAGCCTCAGTTTTCTCCTCTGCAAAATGAGGGTAATAATCCCTGCCCTGCTAGGCTGTTGTAAGTAGGTGGAATTAAATTAGGTAGAAAGGGGCATTCACAAAGAGGAGTTGTTGAATGTAATTTTTGTAGTCAAGATGGGTGCAACAATAAGCCAGAGCCTAGGAAACACAGACATCCTAAAGCGGCCCAGCATACGGTTATTGGAGGAAGATTTTAATGGGCATTGGTTTTACTCCACATACTATTTTAGGCATATTAACCAGGGAGGGTATTTTAAAGATTAGAATTTTGCACTCTGCAGAGATGAAGGATCGTGGAAACCAAAGAAGCAAGTGACATTCTCTTATCACTGGGTCCATCAGAGAATGTACTTCTTAGAAATCCTTTATAAATCTTCCCTGTAGTCCTTGATCTAGCATTTAAATCCTAACATGGAATTTATTTTCAGATGCTTCTTACAAGAATAAACTTTGTTTTCTGAACATGTCCAGCTCAGATCTGGAATCCCTAACATTCATATATAATAAACACAGCCTAAGAGTAAACAGCCTAAGAGTATTAAACAAAGATCCCAGTGGTAACCGCCACGATCTCAGGGGCATTGCTACTATCTTTTTTGGACTTCCTTGACACCATACCATAATAGCATCCTCATGGCAGCGTGCAATGTCAGCAAAAAGGCCCACTCAATGGGGGGAAGGAAAGGTTATTTTCAAGCTAAGAAGCTGTTACTTAGAATAAAAGGCAATTTCCCTGGCATAATGATGTTGAAAAGCATTCCCCATTTTCTAAGGTAAGATTTTATAAGTAAAGTAAAAAATTTATCATTGTCAGCGTTTGAAAAACTCAGCTCTGACAATTAATTACCATTTAATGAAAATACCATCACACCACATTTTCTGCTTTTATGATTCACTATAGCCAAAGCTCTCTGAGCCCATTTCAAACTTCATCCCTTCCTCACCACGCACTCCCAGCAAGGTTACTGGGTGCAATGGTGTTGAGTCCCACTGACTCATAGGCCACATCACTGCAGATCCCCAGTTATATATTGCCATACAGCAAAATCATATAAATCATCATTTACTCTTTTCCATAATAGACTCTGTTTAGGAAGAATAATGGCCCACCCTATATTACTGCGTATTTTATACTCATTTAGATAAGAAACTCATTATTTTATTAGTTAAATATTAAAATAATTAGATATGTTAATTATTTTTTTTAGCTTGAGAAATGCCATTTGTAAATGAGCCATTTGTACACACGTGCCCGTGGATGCCCTGCTCACACACCCTAGGCCATGGCTTCTGACCTCAGGGCACTACCGACATTTTGGGCCAGATACTTCTCTGCCATGGGGGCTGTCCTATTGCATCGTACGATGTTTAGCAGCATTTACTCACTAGATGCTATTTGATTCACAGTGAAAAAATGACTTTAATAAACAAATTTTGGGGGCCTTTGACTGCATGTAAAACCTACAACAAAAATACCACGCACGTATCTGATATCCACGGCCGGCTACGAGGTATGAAAACAAAATGCAAAGTCTGGTGCCAAGGCAACAAAGCCCGAGAGGAGAGTAGGGCATTTCGCTGCTGCTCAGCAGTTTTCATGCTCCCCACTCTGGTAATACTGGAAATCAAGTGCGACAGGGACAGATGGGGAGGAAACAGAAGGCCAAATTATGAGCTGAAGTATTAACAACATGCTTCAGGCCGTGATGGTCAGTAATTTACTGAGCAAAGGGGCCTTCTGATTTCCTCTGGATATAAGGGAGTGGCTGAAAAAGCCCAGCCCCTGATCAACTAAAATGTCACAAGTGACTTTTGGTCATGACCTTCTACCTAGGTACGACTCAGCTTTGCCCACCCACAAGACCCTGCGTTGGACGTGGCCTGCAGGTATGGATGGACGTAACACACAGGGTGGGCAGCAGTGCCAGCCAGCTTCCTCATTCAAGAATGGGATTGCTCCGGCCTCCGTCACAGGGCTGCTTGAGGTGTCGGCACAGTTAGTTCTCAAAAAATGTTACCGGGTGTGGTGCAAAGTCTGATGGAGATGAAAGGTTAAAAATTTGTTGTTCACAATCAGAATCACCATGCTGATGGTGTGACTTCCTCTCTCCCTCCCTTCCCACAAAGATAAAGAATATACCAAAATAATCCCAGAACATTTATTTCCACAGGTTCTTGATTAAAAGAGCACGACCTTGAATAAAAGTATACCACTGTACTTACAGGCAAATGTATACAGCAAGCAGGAGCTGCCCCTGACCCCTTTCACAGAGAAACTTCAGGAAGGAATTTCCACTCCCTGGGAGGTTCACAGTTAATGTCTCCTATGCACTACAAGCCCCATCCTGCCTCTCGTTTTCTCCTATTTCTCCAACGGCAATGTGTGTTCACAAGTTGCACATGTGTGCATGCGTGGACACAAAAGGCTCACTTTACCTCCTTGAGGAAGGAGCTGAGACAATGCTTTGGAAAGAAGTTACCCCAACGTGATGGAGAAGCCAAGCTCAGGAGGCTTCAGAGCTAGAGTTATCTTTCTCCTCAAAAACGCTTCCATTCTAAAAATGTTACTGTGGGTGCCTGAAATTTGAAAGCCAGTGGGTTCATGGTGTCATGTTCATTCCTGTCCTCAATTTCTTCCCAGTTTAGGTCTGCAGAGCAGAGACATGGGGGAGGGAGAAAGTGAGATGTGTGGGTGCCCCACACCCAGCTCAGGCTGGGAGGACACTGAGGGGGAGGAGGCCTCAGGACGTGCAGTTTGCCTGCTGGGGAGAGAGGCCACTCAGAAGCCTGTGCTCAAGACCAGGCTGTTCAAACACGGCCTCTCCCTCCACCACTGCTACGTATCAGGGACTTTCAATGTTCAACACTGATACCTGACCCCGGAAACCCCACCATAAGCCTTGATAGCACCTTTTTAAGGTGTTTAGCTGGGGCTTCAGTCTGATCACCTGCCACTCAGAGCTCAGCAGCCCTCCTAGGCATCTGATGGGAAGTCACAGTGCCTTAATATGTTGAACACTGTGGCTTTCTGTCACAAGCAGCCTGCTTGAGGAAAAGGAGACGACAGGCAGAGGAAGCTGAGGCTGCCATCATGGTCAGCAAGAATCCTAGGACGGGGCCTAATGAAGTTCCTCTGTGGGGCCTGGGGGCCTGAGGGCCTGTTAGGCAGATGCCTTTGCTGCCCTCCGGGCCTCATGCTCCTGCTTTGCCTTCTCCCTCTGCTCCTGTTCCCTCTGAATCAAGTGTACCCGTTCCAGATGCCATTGCTGCAGCTTCTGCTCATAGGTTGCGATATCTTCTGCTTCAAAGGTGGGGAGCTGTTCCTTGATGAGCTGGATGGTCAGAGTCAAAGGACTTTCTGATTCAACTTTGCCCAAAGCCTCAAGCTTAGAATGTAAGTCCTGTTGGAAGCGAAGAAAAAAAGAGGGGATGGGGTGAGGGAGGAGGGTGCAGGTGGGAGAATACAAAGAGGAAAAGAGATTAAATCACTTGCAAAATGTCCACCCGTTCTGCTTACAGGCAAAGGCACTTTGCTGGGAACGTGTCATGCTGCCTTTCATCTAGGCACTGTTAGCATTTACTTTTTTTTTTTTTTTTTCAGTCCAGCAATTTTGCTAAGGTGCACCACATGTGCTCTCTCTCCCTTCACTCACAAACAGTAAATGGAACTCCATATGCTGTGATTCTGTATGTAATTTCTTGTTTTAAACCACAAAGACAGCACGAGTATAACAAATCTACATTTCCACTCTGACTTACACCAAACCAAGCAGCCAACTCCCAGAGCAAAGAACTCTTAAGATGCACACAAAATGGCAGAAGCAGCTGATAAACTGGAGCTAGCCGGTCTGTATCTTTTCTTTCTGAATAAGTGAGATAAATGCTTGTCTACCAGCATTCCCTTCAACAGATGGAACCCAGTGCAAGGAGTTGTTTTTTTTTTTTTTTTTTTTTTTTTTTTTTTACTAATGGCATGCTAAACAGCTCCCAGGAGTCCTTGCACTGTTATAAGCTTCCACCTGCTGTGTTCCATTGCAGGTCAACCTTTACAAACTGACTGCTCACAGCTCCATCTGAAATGGCATCTTGGTTTGGTCGGTATTATATTCCTGGAGAAGTGAAGTACTAAAAACACTAATACACTTAAGTGCTTCAGGATGTAGATCATCAAGAGAGAGTCACTAATGGCCCCAGCTCTAGCTTAAACCACACCTCCCCATGTTCCAAAAACAAATGCCATTCACTGGCTTAGGTGATGAGGCCTGCTCCAATAAGGGGAGGAAGGTGGGCAGAATCCATGTGTCAAGCCGTGGCTACAGGCCTAGTGTGATGGGTCAAGCCTATAAAAATGGACCCCGAATTACCTGAGACTATAAAAATCAGGCAACAGGAAGAAAAGGAAATGTACAATGAAAATTATTTCATTCTGGTATCACTTTCCATGTGGTTTGAGGCCAAGGAGACACCTTGGGACACCAGAATGACAACTCAAATCTGAGCCAGCAAACTTCTGTTCAAATCCCCCATCAGTCACTTATGGGCAAGTTTCTCTCAGCCTGGTGTCATGTAACGTAGGAAACGCAGCACCGACCCGCAGAGCCATAGGGAAGATAAATGAAATGCACTGGTGCCTAATACACGGCTAGCAGCCAATAAATATTTGTCTCTTTTTGTTTTGCTTTTCAAAAAAATGCATCTGTTGAAGAATGAGGACTAAGAATTTAATGCAGCACAGATTTCTACTCTCTTGAGATTAAATGTAAGAAACAAGAGAAAGAGGTGGTCATCTTGAGGAGTGTTGTGGCAGCCTTGGTCAATATGAATATGGTAGATGATAAACTATGAGGCTAAACTATGGATGATTTTTTGTTTGTTCTTCAGCCTTTTTAAATCTGCAAAGTTAAGAGAAACGAACAGGTATGTAAATTTGTAACTTAGCTGCCAATTCTCTGTGTACCTAATATTAACCTTTCTTTCTTAGTTTTCAAATTATAAAAGAGGGACACTGAACAATGACTTTACAGAAGTACCAGGAGAAACAGCTACTGCAAGTACAGTGGAGTCCTCCCTATAACACGGGGAAATAGGTATCCCATAGCTGGTTCAATATAATTACTGAACAGATCTAAGTGTAATAATCAGGCAAAATGACACCTATCTGTCTCAAAATGACACAACAGTTCAGCTGGCATGGATGGGAAGGTTTTGTTTCATGCAAAGAATTCTCCTTTAGACAGCATATTTTTCTCTTTGCACTAAATATATTAAAAACAAAGCAAGGAAGAGGCCAAGGGGTTAACCTCTGAACATAGCTCTTCCTCCCTGACTCTGATCACAGAGGATTTGGGGACATACAGTTGAAATGTACCAATGGCAGCTTGAGCGCTCAGATCTGTTCTGAAAAGACACGGTGGAAACTTGTTCACCTCTTCCATGCAGTCCAAGTAAGTCTTCTCAGGGCCTGAGTGCACAACTCAAAGCCAAGCAACAGAAGATACCAGCATCTGATCTCCATCGTACTCAAATTGGGCTTTTTATTTCTACTTTGGTTTTTGGGTTATCGAGCACATTAGCACAATATAGAGAAATGACCAGATCCTTTCCAGCTGGGGATGGAGTCAGGTGACTGCTCTGAGGCGGCAAGCTATTACCCATGCATCAGGCACATGTCAGGGATGAGTGGGTAATGACATGCTGCCCCAGTGACAAAACTGTGACTGATTAGCTCACGTACAAAAAGGAGCATAAAAATTCCATTTATTACTTTTAAGACCACTTCCTGTTTGAAGCATGATTTTTGATGTCAGTTTTCATGCCTTTGTGTGGGACACTGATGCATGAAAGGGCTGCCTATCACGACAGAAAAGAAGCACGCATAATGCACAGCTCAGAGGGGCTCAATTCTGCTACGACGCACCTTAAATCGTTCCAGGTATTGGGGAAGCTTGGACTGTTCAGTTTCCTCCACGTCCAACTGCTCCACCAGTTCTTCTGAGCCCTGGTCGTCTTCTTCTTGGGGCTGTGCCTCTGAAGACCCACAGGCTGGAGCAGTCACAGCCTTCAGCGTTCTGTCTAGCACATCCAGCTGTGCAGAGGACAAAGGGGCAGGGACTAAGCATCCTGTGAAGCACCCTGAAAACACGCTGTTAAGAGAGGGTAGGGAAGGGATAGGAAGGAACAGCTGGGATCTGAAGACTAGTGAACTCTTTCTCTTATAAAATTATAGGAAAGAGACACGGTTATATGATTTTACATGAGAAACACCCTGTCAGATGGCATGGACAACTTAGTACAAAACAAATGGTACAGATCAGCAAGCTCAGAATTCTGTGTATATGAGTCAGCACAATGGCGTTTGATTTCACCTTTAGTCAACTGGGCAGGAATCCAAAAATTATGTTCAATGGATACTCAAAGTAATCCCTTTTCCAGGTCGTTCTTCCCCAACCAGTTTGGAAGTGGGAGAAGGAGAGAAAAACTGCCACAGAGCGCAACCAACAGAGGACCATTGTGAATGTGCGCAAGAGAGACTCTGAATCCAGGCCAAGCACTTCCTTCACAGAAAGACTGTGGCTCGCGAGGTTTCTGTAAATTAGGGAGCTGCACAACCCTCATAAGCTACTGACAGAGACTTGACAGGCATACGTGAAATCCACAACGAGGTGATCTCTGTGACTTAGAAAGTAAATAAATTATAAAACAGAGGGTTCCTTTTTCTTTTGGCCTGTCGCCCACCACATTCACTTTGGGGCACACCTTCCCTTGACCCACCGAGGGCCTAATCATTCTACAACCTCAAGGTCAGCATTAGCACCTGCTTAGATACCAATTAATCCTACCATGTCACATTAGAACAAAAATCTAGGAAATACTCCAAGTCTTTTAATGCCATTACTACATTATACCCACACCTAACACATATTCCATTCTTGCTGACATCCGAATCATATTCTTATTAGGACAGATCACAAAGAATACAAATCTGGCTTAGGTTGGAAGGACTAATTTCCCTGGCAAAGGATTTATGTATAATACTGTGTTTTTTACCACCAGAACTGACTACAACAGGGTTAAATATGAGTATGTATTTAGGAATGTGGATGTTCTGTTACAAATATCTACCAAAGAACATGATGATTCACTAGACATCAGTATCTGGTCAATACAGGCACCAGACTTGCATATCTTCATGATGAAAATGAAGCCAAGGAGTGAGCCCAAGTGACTGGAATCAAGGGAAAACAAAGAATGAGCTCAAAGTTAACTTTTACATCCTGGTAATGCAACAACCAACGTCCATCTAGGCCTCCCTCTGAAGATGTAAACGGCTTGGACAGGAGCGGACACTGGCTGTCTGTGGGGCAGGAGGCTTTCATGTGGCTCTGAGATAATACGTTTCCTGTGGGCTAAGTCTGGTGGTTCCAGTGTCAAGAGCCCTAGGTGACTGAGAGATGCGCTGGGGCCATAGGGAGACAGTGGCCCAGTCCAGGTAGAGGGAGCCCCTGAGGACTCTGCAGGGAACGTCCGACCCACATCCTCCAGCACCGTGTGTTCACCACAGAATCGTTTCATAGAAGCAAAACAAGACTGTGCCATCTCTAGCCCCCAGATTCCTCTCTTGAGGGCTTTTATGGGGGGATAATAATTGCCATGCAGTCTCCCGGGGCTACAAGGGTACAGAAAGGCCGAAAAATAAGATGAAATATTAACCTCTCTTGAGCTGCCACTGAGTTTTACTGGGGGAGAGGGTGGTATTGTGGGCAGTGTTTTACTGAACTCAGTTTAAATTTCAGGAGACAGGGATAGTTTTCCTCCACACACTGAGCTAGAGAGTCAACACTACTCTTATTCTCTAATACTTCTGGTCAGGAACATTGAGAATGTGTGCCGTTTTTCATTCCCTTTCCACTGGAGAAGTACATGATTCTACAGAAGTACAGAAAGGAGGGGGAGGGGAAGAAAATGAAAACAGATTCACAGCCTGGCTCACAGGGAACAGGAGACGGCTAAAGCACACTGAATTAGAGCCGAAGGACGTACCGCTTCTGCACACAGCTTCCCGTCCTCCGGGGACGAGGCCACCTTCTCCATCACTTGAAGGGCTCTGTTGAGGTAGCCGGGTTGCCACAGCAGAGGCATGTTATGGTACACAGCCCGGAGCCCTCGCTGCAACTCCACCTTCCCTGTGGCCAAAAAGAACAATGAAGATGGCTCAGGCATGGCTTCCCACTATGTTTGAGGCTGAGGACTTGAAAGCAAAGTGAATATGCACCTGGCAGCTCTAGAAATCAAGAATCATTTCAAATATGTACCAAGAGCTTCATCCTGGCGAGTGACCTGGTGCCATTCCAGATGGATGATGAAGAATATGGTAAATTCACCAAATCCATTTTTTAAATACGAAACTGTACAAATTTGCTTTTTTTCTTTTGTACTTGGGCTGGTGGAAATTATCATGAGGATGTATGAATCACAGGGCTGAGGGAAGTTTAGAGAGGTTGATATATCTGTCTCTTTAAGTGGAACTACCCTTATAAAACGAGTCAAACAACTGAAATACTATTTTTGTTTCAAGAACAAAATCTTCCTCAGAAAAAGAATTCCCACAATTCTCCTACAGTGAAAATCTCGTCAACATATGACAACTTTCCCTGCCAGCAAATGTTTGACATTTTTCAAAACGCTCCAAAACATCCCATCGACTGTCCTTTATTTGAGCTTCATCGGTACTTAAGCCATAAAGTCTGCATCATCCTTCTTGGATCTTGGGACATGAATGTTTTTCTTGATTCCTCAAACTGTCACAAGTGGAGCTCCAGACGTGGACACCAGACACCAGGGGCCTCAGGTGGGGCGAGGGGCTGTCTCTGTGTTCCTGGGGAATAGAAGCCCTCTCTGCACGGATGGCCAAAGTCACCTTGAGCTGCCAGGTCTTAAAGCCACCTTAACTTATCGTTCCTGGGAAGGAGGATTGGGAGGGCTATAGTAGGGCAGAAATAGACAAAGCTTATCAGGTGACAGCTAATTTTAGACTTTAAGATACTTGGGGCTGGACTGCAGTCACATTCTGGGAAAGCTGCTTCCACTGGGGCCGGGTGAGGCCGTGCAGCACATGACGCAGTGAGAGCAAAGGGCTTTTTCATCTGACAGCCACCAGTCCCGAAGCACCAGGGCCTCTGCAGAGACAGTGGTGACCACATACATTTTCTTAGTCCTGACAGCTCTCTGAATAATTCACATAGTATAACAGTTCCGAATGATCACCTGAAGGCAAAGGCAAAACGCATAAGCCAACAGCAAAAGGAGATGGCATATAAGGAGAAAACGATTTTATTTTTTATTTAAAAAAATAAAAAAAAATTTTTTTTAATGTTTATTTATTTTTGAGAGACAGAGACAGAGACAGAGCACGAGCAGGGGAAAGGCAGAGAGAGAGGGAGACACAGAATCTGAAGCAGGCTCCAGGCTCTAAGCTGCTAGCACAGAGCCTACGTGGGGCTCAAACCCATGAACCATGAGATCATGACCTGAGCCTAAGTTGGATGCTTAACCAAATGAGCCACCCAGGGGCCCCTAAAATTTTTCTAACGTTTATTTATTTTTGAGAAAGAGACAGTGTGAGTGGGGGAGGAGCAGAAAGAGAGGGAGACACAGAATCCAGAGCAGGCTCCAGGCTCCAAGCTGTCAGCAGAGCCTGACGCAGGGCTTGAACTTGCAAACTGCAAGATCATAACCTGAGCTGAAGTCAGACACTTAACCGAGTGTGCCACCCAGGTGCTCCGAGAAAACAATTTTTAAAAAAGAGTGGTCAATTTCTTTTGCTAGTCTGATAGCCAATTGATAAACTCTAAATTCCTCTCCCTACATCAGTCTATATTAGAATCAGCACCCGAGAGTGCCACACTACATTTTGTTGGTGAAGATCAATTTCAAAACTGCTAAAACTTTGATGATTTTCATAAAACAAAGGTAAGTCAAAGCAGTGCATGGTCAAGAGAAGGTACCTTCTGAAATGCCTGTCTACTTAAGACAAAGAATGGAAGAACAATGAAATAATATGCATTTAAGAAACTCTGTAAATCAGGACACATTTTATGCACACTTAGGTTGGATGTTAACTGCCCTGATTTCATACAACTCAGGTTCTGAGGCTTCAATCTCCTGACCTGTCTTTCAATTCAGTCAGGGAATGAAAGTAAAGCAACCAATCCCCTGCTTGGCCCAGTCACACTGTGCCAAATGAACCTCTCTGCTTTCTCTAAGTGTTACTAGACATGCTGTCTGAGCTTCCCTTCCCTCACCTGAAAACAATACCAAGGATGCGAGTTCAACCCTAAGTCTTGATTTCTTACCTCCTGGACTTCAGGTCTAAAAGAGACAGAAAGATCTTTGTTAATACTGGGAAACATTTTACTAGCTGGCTGGTTTTCCCAAGAGAAGGCCAGAGCTTTCCATTCTTTATCCCTTCCTCACATTGATTACCACAAAATATGATCCAAAGCCACCAGAACTAGTTTTCACCTTACCAGTGGTAACAGGTTTTAGAAGCCTCTTTACTGTCTCTTAAGGCATAAGTCCCTAAGTGTAAAGCTACCAAGGTCTATTTTTATGTATAAAAATGAAAGCTGTAGCATATGAATACAATCATACATGATATCGTATGAATAAAGCTGTATGAATAAAATCATTAGCACACTGAAATCAAAATAAAAATTTATTACAAAGTAGAAGACTGCATCCGTTCTATCCACGAAGAACAATATTTGTAAAGATCACTTAGCTTACCAAGAAGTGCATAGCCATACAACTGGGAACTCAACCCCACTGAGTTCTTTTGCTTTAGGCCTGGGAGTAATAGCGATGCACCAAAATTCCTCTCCTCTTCCCACTGCAACAGAATAAACCAGATCATGGTCCAGCCAAGCAACAAATTTGATTTTTAATGATTTTTAATGGGGGGGGGGGCCCCCCACATGTTATAGCATTAAGTAAAAAAAACAAAAAACAAAAAAAATAACAAAATAACAAAGCTATAGTTTCACTATGATCCTAATTTTATAAAGAGAAGATATTTATGTTTAATGAATAACAGAAAAGAAATACCCTCTGTTTACAGATTTCTGGGCAATGAAATTATGAGCAGTTTTGGTTTTTTGCTTTATACTTTCATTATCTTCCACATTTATGGCAATGAATAAGAGTTCCTTTTGCAATCAGAAAAGCAAAACAAAACAAAAATAAAGAGTACACTCTGGACCAACAATGCCTTGAGACAATCAGTAAAGATTACACATGCTGTCAGCCCAATATTCATTCACGTTGCTATAGCATGCTGGGGCCAGCTTTTGAATTTTAAACAATTCAGCAATGATAAGACTCCTTCTACTTCACAGTGTAAAAATAAATACAACTATTAGGTTGCTTTTAGATAGATTTGTGCCTCTTAAAAATAAATTGGGCAATCAGAAACACTTAGTGATCATTTCTTTCAACTCAGGGTGCAAAATTACACTTCATTAAAACTGGAGCTTTTTGAGACATGGGGCGGGAAGGGGCAAAAATACAAGCATTGCTGAGCCTGCTACAGGGCAGCAAGAATAGTGAAGAGGGCTCGCATAGACTCTGGGCTCAGAGGACAGCCTTGGCAACCATCCAGACAATGAGAGCTGTGATCTTCCTGGTGCCATATGGGTGCACGTCAGCCAGGGCCCTTGTCCTGGCTTGAAAACAAACAACACAAAGCTCAGGGTGCCCTGCGCTGGTCTTTGCAGTCAGAGTTCAGGAAGGAAGCAGAGAACGAATGAGGCGTACAGGCTACAATTGTAGCCAGGTATAAGCGAGGCACCCTGGGTGTTAATGGGCACCCAAGCCTCTTTCCTGGGAATGGCCTTTGTATACTACAAGCGTAATTTCTTAAGGTTTTTCTCAACCTTTGAAAAAAGCAAAAATCTTGGGAGGAAAAACAAAGCCTCCTCAGGCACTTGTGCAGCACAGATAAGTAAAAGCTGGTAATTTGAAGACCAGGGCATTTCACTTTCAAAAGCAAATCACCCTAAGGTTTGATTTCCCCCCACAAAAGCTGCATGAAAAGGGACCCAGTGAATAATAAATAAGGAGCCTTAAATGTTTTTTTCTTTTCTTTAGAGAAAATCATGATCTGTAGTATCTAAATGTGATAGCGGTGAAAAGCCAAAAGAACGGTATCCTTGCTGCTCCGGGAATTGAGCAGGGGTGGTGATGGCAGCTGGAACAGGGACACTTCTGAAGGCACTTTTAGATGGATGAAAACCAACAAACGAAAGTCTTACAGATTTTTTTGGGATGATTCCCTGAAAATAATACAACCACCACTGCTTATATGAGAAGCTATTTATGTGTTAATGTATGAGATCAGGTCTCTCCCAAACCTGTAGCTTCTGCTGTATGTACAATCAAGGATGAAGTCAGGTGCTATCGTACCAGGGTCCTCAAGGTTTTCCTACTTGGTGCTTCGCATTAATACAAAGCAAATCTCATTCTCCCTCTCTCCTCTCCACTCCCCTCCACTGCTAGGTATCTCAAAGCACCACCTACGCTAGCTGTCTCCTTTCTGCCCCTTGAACTTACTCCACAATCCACTCTAATTTCCTTTCCTGCTCCATTATTCTATGGAAACACAGGTTACAATTGAGTGTCTTTAGGCCACTAAATTCAATGAATGTTTTAAAAGTCCTCATCTGACCTACCCTCTCAGAAGCATCCTAAACTATAAACCGCTCTTTTCCTGTGGTTTTTGTGACCTAATACAATCCTGATTGCCCATTTTCCTCTGTGCTTCACCTGCAGAAATTTATACCTATGTATGTAAATTATGTCCCCAGTCCAAATGTTTCCATGAAGATCTCAATTTCCCTCAGGAAATCTCTTGGTTGTCTCAAAGGCATCTCAAACTGCAATATGTTCATAGCCAAATAAATTCAGTCTTTTTCCAGGGTTCCCCTTGCAAACACATGACAACCTTTCCATCCAGATACACAAGTCAAAAACTGAGGAGATGATTTCACCAGTATGTTCCTGCTTCCACATATAGTTCTCCACCATATGTTATCTGCCTCCCAAATATGTTCACTGGCTACTCTTATGTCCATACATTCTGGTCCCCACCTGACCATTACTGCCTACTGAGACAACCATAGTTGATCTAATCTCCTAACCACATTATAGCCGATGTATCTCTTCAAAATTCAAATTGGATCATGTTACCCCTTCTTCTTAAAACTTTTCAAATGCCTCTATTTTTAGGATGTACATAATACAGCTTAGCATGAATTACATTCTCCAACCTTACCTCACCCCATGCCCTTCTTACCATGCTCTCTGTTGCAATTACATTGACTGTCTTCCTATCTTTTTCCAGCCCCTTTCTGCTTGCCATGTTTTTTCTGCCACAGGGCTTTTGCATGTGTTATTTCCTCTTTTTGGACTGTTCTTCCTCTCTTCAACCAGTTAGTTCCTATTCATCTTTCAAGTATTAACTCCAGAAATATTTCCTGAAGGAAGCCATTCCTAACCTAAGTTTAGGATAGAAACAAAAACTCCCCAATATAGGCACTTTTCATACAAGAGGTCTTTGTAGACCCATTGCAGCTATAATTTTAAATGCATGTATTTGGTTTGTTTTGCCTTGAATGCCTGTATTCTTTGATTGGAAGCAGGAAATGTTTGTTTACCACTGTACAACCAGTGCTTGGCAATATATGGAAGGCAGCAGTTGCTCAATATAAATTTAACGAGCTAATGAATGTGAGCTGGATTCGATGGCCTTTTCAGTTCCTACACAAACTAGGATTTTCTGATGTTACATTGGAAGTTGAGGGTAGACTGTAGGGCCAGACCGCCTGGCTTCTCCAGGTGGCTTCAGCACCTACTAGCCGGGTGGCTATTATGTAACATCACTGCGCTCCAGTCTGCTCATCTGCATAGAGTTGTGAGGATTATATGCATTAATAAATTTAAAACACCAAGAACAGAGCTTGGTGTAAAGTGGGTACTATTTAAATATTGGTTACTGTTGTTACTGTTGTTATTCTTAGGATAACAAGAAACAATGATTAAATAGCCTTATCTAAGAAAGGAAAATGAAACTTGGTCTTCTGGACTGACCAAGAGCAACCTTAGGAAAACACTGACGTGAAGTGAACACACCCAAGCTTGTGGTCAGTTAGCTGCCTCACTGCTTCTCTGATATGCAAGTCCCACTGTCAGTGAGAATCAGTTATCCAGTTCTGAATGTCTGAGGTGCATTCAGCTTAGCTCAAGTTTCAAAATGCGCCTAAGGACTTTCGCTTGAGATTCTTTCAAGTGAAGGGACATCCAGTTCCACGCTGTCAAAAGCCAGTCACTAAAATGTACAGAAGGAACACTCATTCCTGGTTGTTTGGGGTCTCAGAGCTGTGTATCAGATGGCTTCTTTCAGATTCTGGTGGCAAGGGTTTTCTCCAGGAACCTCATCCCTACTAAAGAGTCACTGCATGCTTCTAAGGCTCTCAGTACTACTTTACGGTCCATCACTTACACTGAAGTCTGTCTTCTTGGCCAGGCAATGGTATAAAACATAGAGGGACAGAAGCTGAGTAGAAGGCACTTCAAAGGCTTCTTGCAGCATGATCTCGAAAACCACGGATAAAGCATCTGGCAAGAAGACCAAGTAAAGAGAGGAAATTAGTTTCAGGTAACATCTCCAAATCTGTATTTAACTATAAACAGTCTTAAAAAGTGGGGCATGAGAGGGGTGCCTGGGTGGCTCAGTCAGTTAAGTGTCTGGACTCTAGATTTTGGCTCAGGTCGTGATCTCACGGTTCATGGGTTTGAGCCCCACATCAGGCTCTGCACTGACAGTGTGCCGAGCCTGCTTGGGATTCTCTCTCTGCCTCTTTTCTCTCTCTCTCTCTCTCTCAAAAATAAATAAAACTTTTTTTTTTAAAGTAGGGCATGATAGAAAAACAAACAGAATTAAGAAGCAAAAAATGTGAGCTCTGATTCTAGCTCTTCTACAAACCAGATCTTTCCAAAGTCTTTAGCTTCTCTTGTGCTTATTATTATGTACTAAGTCAGGTGCTTTTGCACCAATCTTTTCAAGAACATTGAATAATCTTAATTTCTCTTAAATCTTTCCAGTATCATCTTCATAACGATTACCATTTGTCCCATCTACTTCAAAAGACTGTTGGACAGTCCATCAAGATAGTACATATAAAAAATGCCTCATAAATTGTGAAGCAAATTTAAGGTATCATGTCCATCAGCTGGAGGAGCTAAGGCATACAGAAAGGAGGCAAATATATTTTCCAGGTCACTCTGACAAGCAGAGCAGAAGCTGGGTTGACTGCCCCATTCTGTGTTCCAGAACCTTCTCCCTGTTGGGGCAAAAGAAGACAAATGCTAGAGAGGATCCTAAATCCCACGTATTGTTTTAGAGACAGAAAACTGATGGCTATAAAAAGGATAATCAGGCTCAGTTTAAAAAGACTTGAAACACTGGAAAGAAAAATGCTCATTCATAAACTATAAGGCCCTGACTATAACACACAATATATTTGTTTCCACATGAATGCTGATCATAGAAGTTCAGACCTTGAGCAATTTTTATTTTCCTTTAAGATTCTACAACATAGATGGAAGCCAAGAAAATCAAGTTCAGACAATTTCTTTTCCTTAATATTTGTTGTTAAATTAGAGAATGCTAATATTGGTTTAAAATATGGTGCCAGCACATAACATAGGCACAACACATGTTTTTGACTAAGTAAGTTGCTGTGTTAACCAATTTTTACATATAATCATAATTGTAAGAGTTAGCACTGACTTGCAGCTGTTCCTATCCAGCTGGTTTTGTACATGTTGTTATGGTTCCTAATGAGGCCATAGGCAAGAACTTCTATATTCTTTTTGCAAAGGGGGAAATGGAGATAGACAGACCAAGAAGTCATCTACTAAGTCAGTAGCAAATAAGGACCTGGAACGGATTTAAAACAAACAAACAAAAACTCCAAACAAACCAATATTTTAAAAGAACACAATTTTAAGCTAAAACTCCACTTAAAAAAAAAAATCTGTTCTTTCAATTGTTCATTACTGAATCCAAAATTACACAAGAAAAATAAATCAAACTTACTTTATCTTTTATTTATATTCTGCAGCTCATTCAGCTTGGGAAGTGAAATTAGACTGGCTTATATAATTAGCTAACTTTTCCTCCAAAATCATTTATGTACTTTGATATTGCCTATCCTATTAGCAATAAAAACTATAATACTTTCTTTTTTTACTATTATTTGAGAGACAGAGAATGAGCAGGGGAGAGGGGCAGAGGGAGAGAGACAGAAAAATCTTAAGCAGGTTCCATGATCACTGTGGAGCCCAATGCAGGGCTCCATCCCATGACCCTGCCTGCGATCATGGCCTGAGTTGAAATCAAGAGTTGGATACTCAACCAACTAAGCCACCCAGGTGCCCCAAAAGTATAATAGCTTCTAAATCTTTGCCATAAATGACAATAATCTTCATTAAAACCTTATTTTTAGAAATCTTCAATATTATTTACTCTACATTTAGGGCAAAAAAAGTCCTTGACCCCTCTAACATACCTTTTAAAGAAAGAGTGCAGGCAGAAAACTGCTTCTAATAATTTTCCAATGATATACTATTAAATGTGATGTTCATGGAGCATAGATTAAGAAACAGGGAAAAGCTAATTACCTTCCATTTGAATTCAGGAAATGTAGGTTTAACACTGAGTGAGAAATAGACAAGAAGGGATAATTGATATTTCAAAAAATAACATATAGCAAATAATCTTTGGCAGTCAACAACTGCAAGCCTTTTGAGGGAGAAGATAAAGCAGAGATCCAAAGAGAAAGGAGAGAGGTGTCCACACTCAGGGCAGAAAGGTCCAGTCCCCAGCCTGAGCAGCAGGAAAGGTCATCGGTGCTGGTGTGCAGGAATGAGGGGATGGAACCCAATGGCAGGAATCACAGGATAAAACTGCCCGCCAGGGCATAACCACGTTCCTGAGGTAGTAACTCCCCAAACACAGGCCTGGCTCCCTTGTGGCTTCTCAGTACCAACCCTGAGGATTAAATGGTAGAAGGGGAAAGCCAGTGTGTGTCTTTACACAGTGGCAAGATTCCTCTTTCCTTCTTCACTGTCAGCACAGCCACAAACACAATCATGCCGTAATAGGATTCTCTGTCCCATGGAGACTGGCCGGGGTCCATCTGACTCCTCTGTAGTCTGTTGCAATCCCCATCTTTCCTCGGACTCCCTTATTGCAGTGGAAGTTGAGTCACTTTGAATTAATTGCACAGGATTAGAGAATTTTGTGGGTAAAGAGATCTCAGAGATTACTCATCCACTTATTCTACAGATGAGGAAACAAAAGCTTGGGGAGGTAAAATGACTCTCCTTCATAGCAAGTATACTGCTCTTTCCAGGAAGACAACTGATTTTATAGTCTTACATTCCACAAAGAATAACAACTGTGATTTAAATTAAAATTAGCAAATGGTACTAAAAAGAGTCAAGCTAAGAACTGCATTACTATAATCTTAACCAGCCACGGGAGCTCAGGCAAGGTTTATTGCTTAACTAAATTCATTGTCCTTTGCACAAAGAGACATGAACAAATAAACCTGACAAACTCAGAGGAAAAAACCTGGATATGATTGTCCTATCTGGCCAAGTAGTATGGTAAATCCACTATGCATCTATTTCTGACTGAAAGAGTGATGTAAAGAGATGTCATTCTGAAATTTAGAAAACAAAATTGCCTATATTTACTTACCTTTAAGAGCTGAAGCTCCATTATAAATGGACCTGGGTTTGGTTTCTTACCTTTGTAATTTTCTTTTGTTATGAAAGAATCCATCAGTAAATTGAATGTAAAGTTATCTGGAAAAATTCCATATTGGACCTGTAACGGCAATGAAAATAAAAGGAAAATAAGAGAAATATATTCACTTTCATTGTTTATAATATATGCCTATGCATTATTCATGACAAAACTTGCCACCATTAGCTTTCAGACATTTGACTATCATTTTACAGCATCTGTGACAGTGAAATAAAACCTGTGACTCATGAGGTTTAGTAATTGGAACTTGGTCAGGGTAAGAAAGTTGTGAGTGGGTGTTTGATATAAGATGGTATGTGAAAATTAAAGCTCAATTCTAACACCTCATCAAAGCTAACAAAAACAACAACAAAACAAACCAAAACAACAACCCTCCCCCACCCCAATATGCCTCTGGTTCTGTGATTCTTTTTATAAGGTATGATTATCAATGCAGAACTGGACTCTCACGAGGAAGTACACATTATCACATTATGCAGCATTAAAACAATGCAGCATGGTTTTCTGGTCTTTATTTTTTTCTCGAACTTTATTGAGCTATAAGTGACATGCAACACGTAAGTTTAAGGTGTACAACATGATGATATAATACATACATATATATACACACTGAAAATGATTATGATTACCACAATAAGGTTCGTTAACACATCCATCATCTCACATAAGTACCACTGTGTGTGCGCATGTGCCTGTGTGTATGTGTGGTAATGATAACATTTATGATCTTAGCAATTTGAGATACCATTGACTATTGTTAACTATAGTCACCATGCTGTCCATTAGATCCTCAGAACTTACTTACCTTTTAACTTAAACTTTGTACCCTTTGACTAACATCTCTTCATTTCCCCCGACCCCCAGCCCCTGCAATCTACCATTCTATACTTTATTTCTATGAGTTTGGCTTTTTTGATTCCACATATAACTGAGATCATAGGGTATTTGTCTTTCCCTGACTGATTTATGTCACTTAGCATAATGACCTTAAAGCTCGTTCATGTGGTCACAAATGGCAAGATCTCCTTCATTCTGATGGCTGAATAATATTCCATTGCATAGATATACACCACATTTTCTTTATCCATTCATCTGTCATTGGACAAGGGTTGTTTCTATGGTTGACTATTGTGAATAATGCTGCAATGAATATGGGGGAGTAGGTATCTCTCTGAGATCCTATTTTCATTTCCTTTGGGTATATACCCAGAAGTGGGATTGTTGGATCATATGGTAGTTCTTTTTTAAATTTCTTGAGGAATCTCCACACCATCTCCCATAGTGGCTGCACCCAGTGCACATTCCCACCAACAGTAAATAAGGGTTCTCTTTTTGCCACACCCACACCAGCACTTGGTATATCTTGTCTCTTAGACTGTTTTTTAAAGACCTTAGAAATATGCTAACAAAATATTACTAACTGAACTTCTGTTCATGCGCAGTAAAATATTCGAGAATCCAGATTTCCCAAAATGTGGATCCTTTAGCATCTGCCTAAGAATTTTCTAGGAGTGCTTTAAACAATGCAGATTTCTAAGCCTCAGACTTACAGAATTAGAATCTCTGGGAACAGGGCAAAGAAACCAGAAGTTTTAGTGAGCTTTCTATGTGATTTTCATGCACAATCAAGTGTGATTACTAATGATCTAGATTGTAGTTATATATTTATTTGTTTTAAATTCTTGCTTGAGGAGGATTAACTACCATCTTCCACCCTGCCCCATTCTTCCTCCACCAACTACCAGAAGTACCTGAGGAAAATTTTCAAATTATACACACCCCCTAGGGGAGTCTAATAGTCCTAACCCCCCAGTTGTGAATCACTGCTGAATTGAGTCACTGTTACAGTAGGCTGTATGGGATGCCTCAGATATGTTGAAATGAAAAAATGGTTTAGAAGCCATTGTTTTAAAGGCTGGAGCTCGTGGGAAGTTTCTCTATTTCTCAAAGCAGTCATCCAATTCAGCACTAGTCCTTAGGGGGCATGGCAAAACCAAAATATTTTAGAATGATAAATCATTAAAGCTAGAAGGAGCCTTAGATATCAATCGGTCGGTGATTCTCAACCCTGGCTTCAAATGAGAATCAACTTGGGAGCTTTAAATGGATACCAATGAGGGATGAATAGGCAGCGCACAAAGGATTTTAAGGGCAGTGAAACTATATGATACTATGTGACACTATAAATATATACATATCATTATACATTTGTCCCAACCCACAGAATGTACAATACCAAGAGTGAGCCCTAATGTAAACTGTGGACTCTGGGTGATTATGATGTGCCAATACAGCTTCATCAATTGTAAAAGATGGATCACTCTGATAGGGGATGTTGATAATGGGGGAAGCTGTGCATGTGTGGGCAGGGAGCATACAGGAAATCTCTGTATCTTCTGCTCAATTTTGCTGTGAACCTAAAGCTGCTCTAAAAAATAAAGTCTATTAAAAAAAATTTTAAGATATTAAGAAAAAAAAAAGTTAAAGTCTGTGCTCCAGAAAGATGAGTTAGATTAGAATCTTGGGGGTGGTGAAAAGCATCTCTAATTTTTATTTTTTTTTTTTAATTTTTTTTTCAACGTTTATTTATTTTTGGGACAGAGAGAGACAGAGCATGAACGGGGAGGAGCAGAGAGAGAGGGAGACACAGAATCGGAAACAGGCTCCAGGCTCTGCGCCATCAGCCCAGAGCCCGACGTGGGGCTCGAACCCACGGACCGCAAGATCGTGACCTGGCTGAAGTCGGACGCTTAACCGACTGCGCCACCCAGGCGCCCCATGCATCTCTAATTTTTAAAAGTGTCTTGTGTGATTCTAATGGACAGCCAGGGTTGAAGATCACCGGTTTAGTACAATTCACTTGACTCTGAGTTGAAAACACTAAGACCTAGACAGATAAAATTATGTGACTGAACTTATGGGCACTTGGTGGAACTTATGAGGTTACAGCCTGGCTCTTCTGACTCCTTGTCCAGTGTTCTTTCCACGAAAAGACTAGAGCAACAGAAAATGAGATAAACTCTTCTGCATTTCTATACCCTTCTTGTTTTGTTTTCACAGACACCTTCTGTGAGTATAATCTGTGTCATTAAACTCTGAACTGATAAGAATAGGATTTGATTCATTCCTTCCTCTGGGCCTAACAGATTTATCAGCAAACCTGTTTATCTGCATTATTAAATGATAAGCTTCCTGAGGGCAAGGATAGGATACTGCTCATTTTTACAGACAATGCCATACCCAGTGTCTCACATACAAACTGTCTGCAATGCACATTAAGTTGAATTGGGTCCAAGTCATGGGACCAAAAGCTACCAAAACCAAAACTTTTATACCCTTTTGAGTTCTAACATACAAGCCCAGTGACACTAAAGAGGTAATATATTTTCACAGAAATACTGTTAAAATCTTTTTATGGTCAAACTAGAGTTATACCTTGAGACTCACAAAAATAACATTCAAATATTTTGCTTATTTTATACTTCAATTCATACTATAAAGGTTAAGACTCAACCCTTGATGGAATGTAATGTTCAGAAAAACCCTAACCATAGGGGACTCTGGGGCTCGAGGAGAGGAGTCAGGGAATTTAGAAGAAAGACGTGTTTTGAGTAGCCTAGGAATACTTGTCTTTTAAAAATTGTGTAAGATAGGCTGAATATTCTGGAGATCATATTCCAGCAAAGTGGTCATGTCTATTTCCCTAAAAATCACCAAAGGGAACTGGGCAAGAAATCCACGTCTTAGGGATCAAGAATGAAATGACCATCAGTGCCAAGTTCTTTTGACTCAACTTCCTTTTGCTTTTACCTGTCCATTTCCAAGTCACTAGGTGTGGAGAAGCACAGGCTATGGGAATTTTTATATTTAATTGTTGATTAATTTCTATTCAGTTCCATTCTAAAAAGGATATCTGAGAGCAAATAAATATCAAAAGCTATTTCTTTTTCTTGTCCTATTCTTTGCTGTACTATATAGTAGGTGTATCATCTAAACTGAGGAAAAGAAGGTACAAATACCAGGAAACCACTCACCTTATTTACAAGAGTATATAAGGCTTTGTCTTGTGCACCGTATTTTAAACACTGCCTAATCCAGGTGTGGATAGTCCAGTCTCTCAGGTACCAACAATTGGGGCTGTGTCGAAATCTAAATAAAGCATAAGAAGAGAGAAAACTGGTTGTTAACTCTGAAACATCAATGCCAAAATACATCCCTCATAAGTAGGTCCTTCCTTAGATATTTACAGATGTGCAGTCAGTGTGACCAAAAGTCATAAAAGTCAACGTTCAATAAAAACTTGAAGACAAAACTTGTTAACTATAAAGTATGAAATGGGAAAGGGGAGGTAGAATAATAATAAATAAGAAATAAAAGTATTATAAAAATTGTATTCCTTATTTAATGCCTCTTGATTCAACACCTTGTTTTAAAATAGGAAATTTAGGGGCGCCTGGGCGGCTCAGTCGGTTGAGCCTCCGACTTCGGCTCAGGTCATGATCTCGCGGTCTGTGAGTTCGAGCCCCGCGTCGGGCTCTGTGCTGACAGCTCAGAGCCTGGAGCCTGCTTCAGATTCTGTGTCTCCCTCTCTCTCTGGCCCTCCCCCGTTCATGCTCTCTCTCTCTCTCTCTCTGCCCCTCCCCCGCTCATGCTCTCTCTCTCTCTCTCTCTGTCAAAAATAAATAAACATTAAAAAATTAAAAAAAAAAATAAAATAGGAAATTTAGGGGCGCCTGGGTGGCGCAGTCGGTTAAGCGTCCGACTTCAGCCAGGTCACGATCTCACGGTCCGGGAGTTGGAGCCCGCGTCAGGCTCTGGGCTGATGGCTCGGAGCCTGGAGCCTGTTTCCGATTCTGTGTCTCCCTCTCTCTCTGCCCCTCCCCCATTCATGCTCTGTCTCTCTCTGTCCCAAAAATAAATAAAAACGTTGAAAAAAAAAATTTTAAATAGGAAATTTAGGGGCACCTGGGTGGCTCAGTCGCTTAAGCGTCTGGCTCTCAGTTTCGGCTCAGGTCCTGATATCACAGTTCATGGGACTGAACCCCACACTGGGCTCTGTTCTGACAGCATGGAGCTTGCTTGGGATTCTCTCTCTCTCTCTGCCCCTCCCCTGCTCATGTGTGTGTGTGTGCGTGTGCTCTCTCTCACAAAAAATTAACTTAAAAAAATTTAAAATAGGAGATTTGTAAAAAATGATCTGGTGAAAATGTTCTACTAACCATGGCATTATATAAATATCATTTCATTAGAAGAGAGATATGAGGCTGAAGCTGACACTTCTGAAGTTTAAAATAAAACAGGTGATGCAAAAATGAAGAAAGGAATGGCATAGCTACTCTGGAGGGGAATCAGCTTTGGGTTATACTGATATTTCTTACGGCATGTAGGAGATATTGGGATACTCTTCACTGAACCAAAAGAGAACAAAAAAGCAGAAAGGAAAACAAAACTTAACATCCAGGTCGTCCAGGATCCATACTCCCAACCCACTGCCTCCTTCAAAGCTCCATTCTAGCTCTTCAGTTTTTGCATTTCCTCTCCTCTTGCTTCCTGTAGCTCCCGACATGGTTTTAAAAAGCCTACGCAGCCAGGTGGATGTGTCAATACTACCATACAAAAGAAGGAACTTCAAAAGGGATGCTGAGTGCTGCTCAGTGACTCAAGTTTGCACACATTGGTGACACCTGGGGTTGGAGCCACTTCTTGTCCCGGGGGCATCCCTGACACAGACTGAGGGAGAGAGGAGACAGAGCCATGAGCAGGGGTTTAAAGAGCTCCGTGGTTCCTTTTTTTGTTTATCTGCTTTGATTGGGACGCATCCTCACACTTCGTATCATGTCAGAGCAAGCAAGCTCCCGTCTTTTAATTGTCCAGGAAGCACATCAATCTTTAGGCTGTACAAAAATCAAACAGTTTTCTTAAATAAAAAAGGTAAGACAAAAACTTGGAGCGAAAGGATTTTGTGTCATATATGAGTCAAGAATACAGCTAATACTAGTGTTTTTTAGAAGCTGGTTATTCAATCTGCCACCTGCTATTTCCTGCCATCTGCTATGGGGATAGTTTCCTGCTGAACAGGTTCTCTGCCAAAGTAAAAGCTGAGAAAAAGAGAGGAAGTGTGAAGTAGTATTTAATTTAGGATATTTATTAGTGCTCTGGTGAGAAATTTGGCAAAAATAAGATCTGAAGATGTTTTATGGATATGGAGTCACCCAGACCTCTCCAGACTTTTGAATATCTTACATTTTGCTGGAAGTTATTTCTCACTCTTTCTCTTTAAAAGAGAAAAAACAGAAAGAATAGATGGGGCACCTGGCTGGCTTCATTGGGTACAGCATGCAACTCTTGATCTTGGGGTCATGAGTTCGAGCCCCAAGTTGTGGGTAGTTTACTTAAAAAGATAAAAATAAATAAATATACAGCTCTTAAAACATAAAAGCAGAAAGAGAGAAATATGCCAATTTATGTTCAGGATGAGAATGACCCAGCCAGAGAAAGACACTGTAATAGGTGCCCAAGATACTAGATCTAATGAGATGCTCTGCAGAGACATGAAACAAAATATATCTGTTAGTATTTCATGCTTTCCCTCACATTTTAAAGTCAATAGTTCAGCTACTTGAGTTCTTCCCCTCGTTACTCTGAAAAATCTGAGATTTAAAGCATAATGGCCAGTTAAAAGTTTATTTTTCAAAGAATCGATTCAAGAGAAATACCAGGTGTACTGCCTAAATGATGGCGATGCTGCCTTGTTGGCCTGTGAGCTCCCTGGGCAAGGAGGGTCATGCCACCTTGCCCCACACTGGTTCCTCAGTGCCGGACACAACTGGTGGCCCAGAGGACATTTCCAGCAAGTAAAAAATGAATTCAATCAACAAACGTATAAAACGCTATTATGTGCTAATTACTTTGCTAACATGTATGGCATATATGAAGAACGGTCAATTCCCTGTAATCGGCGGCATTTATAATCTCATCACAAAAACAAAGTACACAAACATAGTTTAACAATAGTACAAGGTGGAACACAGTGCTAAGGAGACAAAGGGCATTGCTAGTTGCTTAGAAGTGTTTGGGGTGGTAGTGACTGTTAGGTTCAGTCCACTTTTCCTTTAAAAACAAACAAACAAACAAACAAACAAACAAACAAACAAACATAATTTAAAAAGCCAATTGCCTTCTTTACCCAAGATTATTTTAAACTTAAACTTCATTTTAAGATCTAATCTTCTGCCTTAGGATGGCTCCAATAACTACAAAAGTTATGACTTTTCTTTCTGATAGACTTTAAGAGCACCACGACCAATTCCAACCAAATACCCTTTTCTTTTATTCACAATCAACAGGCCGTTTTTAGGTTCTGAAGAAAACAAAGATATAGGATCTAGCTTTAGACCTTCAAAGCTCAAATTAAAATTTGTATAAACTTCTTAAAATTTGTATAAACTTCTTAAAATTTGTATAAACTGCTTAAACTTCTGAGACTAACCTTCTTCATACATGGAAGAACAGAAAAGTTTTACCTTCTCAAAGGTCTCGTCTTCTCATACCTATTTCTTAGAAGCCTAGAGGGAAAGTTACTCAAGACTTCATACATCCAATATAATCATCTCAGCATAGGAGCAGCCTTTGAGAGATTTGTCAACAGACTCACAGTGGTCTTTAATAAGTCCATTCTCTTCCTCATCCTGGAACAGGGCTATTTGCTTTGATCTCTTCTCTCTGAGGCCTAGTAACCCAGACACACACCAAGTCTATCAGATGTTCAACCAGGTGAACATATTAAATCAATTTAGAAATAAGAGGGAAACACACATTTAACACGAAATATGCTGTCCAAACTGCAATTCCTGCACTTCCCAGCCAGGCAGCATATAAACTCCTTTCTAAGCCCTCACTGGTGAATGTTATCTAGCTGTCTAAAACACAAACAACTCAAAACATTGAGAGAGTAGGGTCCATCCAACTTTGGATGGTGAGTCTGAGAAGAATGCCTCTATCAATGACGCTTCAAGCAGTTCAGACAGATAAACTCGGGCCCTTTTCAGAACTGCTGGTGGTTAATATGATAGGCAGGTTAAGTCTCTGAAATGGGTACTTGCCTCGAATGATTTTGTGGACTGCTGGACGAGCATTCTCCCTTTCAGCTAGAAGAAAGGCAAAGAGACGAGAACACAACTAACACATTGATTTTCCAATCTGCCTGCAAACAGACTGGCTTTTGTTCTCGCCTGCTCTGACCACCGGCCTGGCAGATTACAGGCGGCCACTGTAGGAGTCCCCTCTGTGCCCCGTGCCATCAGCTGTTTGCTCACCTCGACAGAAGCTTTATTATTGTCCAGGCCAACAGGCTGCCAAGCTAGGCAAACCGTGTGAGTGTGGAAAACATAAACAAATGCAACCCAAACAACCTCAACAATGCTTGTGCTCATGAAGGCCAGGGACATTCTGAGTTTCCAACTTGTAAAAATATAAGTAAACTTACAACAATTCTAAGTATATGAGTATCTCCCGAGGTAAGGAAGGGCACAAGAAGGAGAAGGAGAGAATGAAGGAGTACATTCTCAAGCTCCACTTCTAGTTCTCAGAGGTGGTGTCCCAAAGCTGAAGATACTTTTGTCCACAGTGCTAAGTAGAGTTTCCAGGCGAAGACAGAACTTGCCTAAAAAGCCAAATCATAGCCAGTCAAATAGCAGGAACTGGGAGGCTTCCTTTCCTTACACATCAGGCTATATTCAGGGCTGCTCAGGGCATTCGCCTGTACCATTGCCCATTCAAGATTAACGGCACCAGGAAGGAAGCAGAGCAGAATCACAGGATGGAAAACTGGGGGCAAAAGTCTTTGATACCTTAGAGATTTTTTTAGAGGGGAAGAGAGGTTATATCAAAGAAGTCAAGAGTGAAAAAAGCAAAACACCAGAGACTTAGTGTGATTACAGAAAAGGCACTTTACTGTGTGAAAAAGTCACCTGGGATTTCCTATTTGTAATCAATTTCGTCATTTCATTGGGAAAAAAAAAAAAAGTGGGAAACAGCCTTTTCTTCCGTGGGATTCATACAAAGGTTATCGTTGAAGGCAAATGTGGCAATGCTCATCAGCTCTTCCGAATAGCAAGTGAAAGTGCTCCCGGCTGGGCAAGGCTAATGCACAGATGCCAGAGCCTGGAGCCCAGTGGCTGTACCATTTAGCTGCAGCACTGGCTCTTCCATATGAATGAGCAAGCTTTCCACAACGTTTATCTGATTATGAGAGCCACCATCCTTAAACACACACATGCAGTTTTCCCTCCTCCCTAGTGAATTCTGTATCCTGTGGCAACAGGCTTTGCAGATGGAAACCTGCGCCTTTGAGCTGGGCAGACATGAAGACGATTGAGGGGCCAGGGTGAAGAGAGGAAAGAAAGAATGCCAAGAAGAAAATACAGCTGGCACCAAGGCGTGTCATGTGGACTGGGAATCTTATCTGTGAAGCAAAGTGTGTAATTATTAAAAGGTTTGAGCACTTTCCTGAACTGGAACCAAAGAGTAAGAGGGTGTCGTGTGACTATTTAAACCAGAATCTGATTCAATCACTGCCACCGACTTTCTCATTCTAAATGGATAATTACGTTCTTTTGCATCCCTCTGGAAATTCTACTTTCATCAATTATTAGTTGCCCCCCAAAACCATAAATAAAATCAAATTTTGATGAGATAATTTTCTAATAACTATTATATTGTTGTCAAGTATTAAAAAAGGAGTAGAGTCTACTATAGGAACTGATAATAAAGAC